CGTTGCTCTGGGGTCGAAAGAAAGCTTGACCTACCCCGTTTGCGGGGGGAGGGAGGATACAGCAACCCACCTCTCTTGCACGATATGCTGTGTTGCCGGGATTCTTTTCCCTTCAGCTAGCATTGGATCGCCTTCCCAGGTGTGCTCTACCCTCGACCTGTCTGTCACTATTCACAACAAGCTCTCATGGAATGTTCAGTGCAGATGAGGATTGAAGCTTGGGCCCGACGGCACGGAGGTCCGGTCGTGCATGAGTGGAGTTTTTGCCGCAACAAGTCGGAGATCTTTGAGTCATCATTATCCCTTGACTGGCTCGGGGTTATCATTTGCCATTCTGGATTAGAGAGGGGGATGTGTGGTACGTTTCTTTTTTTTTCCCTCTAGGCTGCGTTGCCTGCAGCCTGCATACCTTGTGAGAGTATCCTCCGTCATTGGTTCAAGGATGGTTTCCAGGGAAAGGCGAAGGCCAGCAGTGCGTACGGATGAGCTTGTAGTATTTCTTCTTTGGTGATCGCAAGACGAGCCAAATGACCTCTTTCGAGTAGAGAACCTTTATCGGCGCTATGTAGTGTTATGTCATGGTGGGGATGGTGAGTATGTCCATATGTCCATCTGTGCGTATATCCATATGTCCTCGTAGTTGTATGTCAAAAAGTATGTCTCTCGTGTTTACTTTACTACTACCAGTACGAAGAAATGGGAAGCACGCACGGTCCCTGATCGCCCCCTCTTTTTAGTGCCCGCTCAAGTGACCCGTCCGACCGCCTCGAGAGGGTCATCTGCCATAGTGCCATGATGTGCCATCCCAATTCAGCCACGACGGGATTCCTGGAGTCGATCCATCCATTCATCATTCATCCCATCTTCAACCCTTTACTCTTCAGCCTACTGTGAAATGTAACCTAAAAAAAAACCTTTGTTTGACTAGACTTCCTCACTCTGGACCGGGATTTTTACCGATTGCAGTTCGTTGTCTGCACCACGCACTACTGCCACTAGCTATCTGTCTACTCGGTGGCTAGCTCTCACTCCGACCAGTCACCAACCTTCGATCAGTCTTTTGTGACGAGCTCTTGAAAATATTCTGTCCAAATAGAACAAAAGGCACGCGAAATAAGGCTTAGAATGAAAGTCACACAAGTCTAAAAGATAAACTCAATCAGAGAAACCCGGCATTGATGGTTTACATTGCTCGATTCTGCATTATCATCATCACCATCTAGCATGGCTCATCTCTACAACCTCGCTCCGTCTGCAATCCAGGGTCATGATAGCACCTTGCCATGGCGGATCGCCACTCGGTTTGAACACGATAACCATCCCCGATGATGAGGGCCAAGCGCTGGCCAGGTTGCTCGATCATTGCAGGCCCGATGAGCTCCCAGGCAGTGACGATACTTGCCCGACTGGGTCATCCGGACTTCATACGAATCAGAAGCGAGGAGAAGCGCCTGTCTTGTGATTGGTCCTGAAGGGGAAAGGCGTGAGACTCCAAACAGGGAATCTCTCACGGTCGATGACTGGCTGTAGGAGAATAGTCCTCCGGAGTAGTATTGGGGATAGTTGTCGTTTCGGAAAAGGCAGGCAAGTGAGGTGGAAATAGTAGTTGGTAGTTGGTAGTAACAACAGAATTGAGCAATTGAACAAAGAGACCCAAAAAGAGAAAGGAGGGAAAGGGAGAGAGAGACAGAGCAGAAAATACATAGCTTGGTGTCTCGACCCTGCTATACAGGAACCTACCAGCATTGACACAATGCAGTGTAGCTGGAATACTGAGAAGCGATGATGCGATCACAATCTTCAAAGTGCTCTGCCGTAGATATACCTCCCCATCGCTGCCGACTGACCTCAACACCGTCTCCGATTCTCTTATCAATGTCCAAGACGGTCGCTACTCTCCATTTTGACTAGCCATCCATCGTGAGCTGGTTGACGGGGGATTTCCTGGCTTATTATTACACCTTGTTATTGGGATTGTTATCATCACCATCCAAAACGATTGCATGGTTTGGCGGAACCGGGTGCACTTGCAGACACTTGACAAGGCTTGACTAACTACCGGTACGGAGACTACAGTAACTAGACAGACCCTGTCTCGCTGACTTCGTTAGGCTCGGATCTTACACACCGGAGCTTGCCAATCGTCCGCGTTCGCAGCACCCCCTGATAACCTTACATCCCCCCCCCTTCCCCGTCCTATCTGGCGTTATTGTTGTTGATTCTGCCAATTTGTTCAGTCCCCTTTTTAGGCTGCCTGGTCTGGCGCGAATTGCTCCTAGACGAGCTTCCTGTTTCGTGGAATTGCATGTGCTCCTCCATTCCAGCACCGGTCCAAGCCACACCCGCTTCTGCTCCGGCCAACACTTATCTCACCTCGTGTTGACCTGCACCGTGCGCGAAACGCTCGACTCTCCTTGCACACTCTTTCTCCCACCTGGTGCAGAGTCAACGCGGACGCGACCGTTCGCATCGTGGCATCGCTCCCAATTCCTCAACCGCGCATCTTTTTTCCCCGCGGCGCGGGAAGTGACTTTAGCCCGCGAGACACTACGCTTCACAATCTTGGCTGTCTTACGAACTAGTCGCCTTTGGTCGCGGTTGACACAGCGGCAGATCATAACTATCACATCACATAAGATCACTTTCGTGGCTCCATTGCGCGGTTCCATTTTCGCGCAGCTGCTCCATGGGACCAGCTTCGAGGTAGATGAACCTGGAATCGAACGTCGCAATTCTCGGCCAAATCCACGCCATCATTTGCTAAGTCCAGTGCGCTCTGGCTACCACAAGGAAAGAAAGTTGTGCATTCATCATCTGCGTGGGCTGGAGCACAAAGAACGCGGCCTCCATCCAGTAATCGGGTAGGTGCCGCATTCAGGGCTGACTCCGACTCTCCTTTGTCTTCGGGGGGGTTTTTCGGACTTCTTTGAAGCACAGTTGGCTCTGACTGGCCGATGAAAAGTGGTAGCCCGGGGTGCTATCATTATCATCGATCAGACGTGCAGGAAGGGGGTCCAATACCAGCACAGGGACTCTGGTTCGTTCTACCTCTCCGATTGAGACTGCTGGCTGTCCGTCTGCGCAACCCGATCGTCCACATCCTGGATGCATGTTACTAATGCGATTCAAGCAACAAAACAGATTTGAGGGAAACGTAAGTTAAGTTCTTCATTTGTCTGAAGAAGCGCGCCCTGGAGAGTGGTTGCATGCTCTTTTCCATTGTTCTCCGCAAGCGCAATGACGGTTTGAAGAGGAAGCTCCTCTTCATCTGGCATCTTGCGACGTAATCTTCACTTTTTTTCAGTCTCCTGACTGGCTTACTCATATCTACTTCACCTTGTTTCTTCATTTATTGGGATCCTTTGATTGGATTTATTTTTTGGATTTATTTTTTTTTCTTTTACTAAAACGCAAGAGAAGCCCGTCCACATTATCTCTCCAACTTATCGTATCATTTGTTGTTAATTATCGTCATTTGGCATTGTTATGTTCATTCTTTGGGGTTTGATGCGAGTGGCAGCGGGTAGCCAATGCGCGCAAGAGTGGCGCCGCCTTCCCGCCTTTTTCCACTGCACCTCCTCTCTCTGTGATCCCCCTCTCTCTTGAGTCTTGACTCCTTTTTTTGTTTTCCCCATTCCCCGTCTGAACTAGTCCCAGTTCCCTTTCTTCACTCGCTCCCCCTCATCATCATCCATCATCCTGTTGTTTCCCCCCTTCCCCCTCCCTCCGTCTTCCCTCTTTTCCATTTTTTTCTCTTTTCCTTCCTTTCCAGTCCGGTCTCCAACCCTCCTCCTCCAACCTAACCTTCTTCCCCACTCCAATCAACCTCAGTTTGCACCAACTACCAAGCGTCCCGGTCAGTTTGCCTTGCACACACGCACGTCTAAACTTCCTTATCCTTTCTTTGGTCACACATAATCCATTGCCGCCCCCCTCCTCCTCCCTTCCCCTAAGTTCCCACACACACACACACACACACACACATACACACACACACAGGCACAGGCACAGGCATACACACACCACACCACCACCCACCCCCTTCCCTTTCCGCGCCCCCCCCCCTCTTTTCCCCCGTCATCCCCGTCCCCACTGATCGGTTCCATCAGCGGCACGCTGTGAATCATCCACGGCTGATTTCCAGCTGTGTACCGACTCAGGAATCTACTAGTGGTTTGGTACCTCCACCTGAACTAGGAACCGCTGCGTTTTGCAGACCGGGGGAACCTTGGATTGTTGCATTGTTGTTATCTTACCTTCCCCCCTCCCCCCTGCCAGCTAGTAAGCCTCATGTGGCTGTGCAGTGTCTGGCAATAACTTCCCTACTTGCTCTATCGCCACACCCCCAATCATCCATTTCAGCCACATTACTTGCACGCATTCTTTGCTTGCTTGCTTGCAGGGTGTTCGTATCATAAGCCTTCTGTGCATATCCATTCGTATTGTCTTTTTTGAGACTGTTTCATTCTTGCATCTCATCTCATCTCTCGTTTGTTTTTCACCATCAACTTGTATCATCATCTCTTGGTGTTAGTGGTTCCATCTCTCACCGCCTCTCTGCCGCTCTGCCTCTCACCGCCTTTATACCCCCATCTTCCCATCATCCTTCGTTATTATTCATTCAATCTCCGTCTGGCGATTTGCTCCAGCCTTTCCGCTGATCCGCTTCCAGCAACCACTGCATGCGCGACTCTTGGCCCGTCCGTCCTCCTTTTGTTCGTCATCACTTGCATCCTCGCCCTCTAGTTCTTTCTTGGGTCTCGCAGCAGCAGCAGCAGCACCACCACTTCTACCACCACCCACCCACCCACCCATCACAGGGAGCCAACCCAGTCCCCGTCCTCCCCTTCCCTCCCCGCCATCTGACACTCCGATTGATACCTGTCGCGTTCGCCTGACGCGACCGCCGCCTTGCGACGGCTCCCTCGACTTCTCGCCTCCCTCCCGTCCTTCCTTGGCCCGCCATGTATAGCACTTCCCACTCTTCCGTCCCCGCTCCGATGAATGGGATCGGTGGAGATCTTGTTGATGGCTCGGGCACGATTAACCCTGCAGCCTTAAACAACGGTATGTGTTTGCTTTTCCGCTTGTCTCATCCTGTTACATGCCCGTCTACCTGCCTGTCCCGTGCCTCGATGCTCTTCTCAATCCAACCTAGTTTGTCTCTGTTTGCGCATTGCTTCCAAGGTGAAAGTTGATTGTCGCATCTTATTGGCGCGGTCAACAGCGGTGCAGCCGCTCTGTTGCCGCTGATGGAGGTCATTATGGGTGTCCCATTTCTCTTCTACTTGTCCACCGCGACAACCTCCAAACTGACGGCCTTCTCCTAGTCGCCGTTGCCATCCCCCCTTCATCCTTCGGGCCCACGAACCCTAGCATTGCCCCTCGTGGTGTCAAGCGAAGTCGTACCCCAGATCAGCGAGGGAATGCGCGCGCAGATGGGGATCATGACGATGGTATGTGTGCGCTGGATTGTCTATCAATTCACTTTGTCGAGCTTGGATGGAGGACGTACAAGTCAAGCGTACTTAGTCGCATGCATTCTGTCTTCTTTCACCGAAGCTTTGTGTTTGAACCATGTTGATTTTCGCGTTCGTCGTCTTGTGTTGTCTCTTTGCCCGCTCCCGACGCTCACTATATCTACTTTGACTGGGATCATGGACTAATGTGCAAATTGTAAACAGCGGACGATCATGGTCGTCGGAAAAGGGGTCGCCCTCCTAAGACGCCACGACCAGCCACAGCATCCACTAGTGACCAGCCGGTCTCGTCCAATGCTCATGCTCAAACCCCGCGGATGCAAACCCAGCCTCTTTCAGCCCAAACATCCGCCAACATATCCCCGTCACAAGCTTCTCCGCCCGAGAAAAGCACACCAACCAAGGCTGCTTTGGTCAAGGCTCTTCCGACTGTGCGCGATCACACTACCGACCAGCTGAACGAGGCCGGTGACGAATATGTGCCTAAGGAATTCGACGATGCTGGGGAGAAGAAGGTCGATGATATGGGTTACCTCCAGGGTGGTCGCGAGTACAAATGCCGCACCTTTCGCGTGCCCCTGCGTGGAACTAAGCTGTTCATGCTGGCTACTGAGTGTGCGCGAGTGCTGGGTTACCGAGACTCGTATCTCCTGTTCAACAAGAATCGGTCTCTACATAAGATAATCGCTACCCAGATTGAGAAGGACGATTTGATCCAACAGGACATATTGCCGTACTCATACCGCTCTCGTCAGATTGCTATTGTGACGGCCAAGTCCATGTTCCGCCAATTCGGCAGCCGCGTCATTGTAAACGGACGACGGGTGCGTGATGATTACTGGGAGGGCAAAGCGCGAAAGCAGGGATTCACGGAGGACGATCTCGCAGGCGAAAAACGCCCCGGTGGTGGTACCAAACGCGATGCTGCGGCAGCAGAGGCAGCGGGCGCTGCCAGCTTTTTGCCCACCCTGACTCATGGCGATGTCATCTACAGCAACGCGCTAGAGGCTGTGCCGAGCAGCATGACGATCGGCGCACCGCCGTCGGTCTCACTTTCGCAGCCGCTCCCAATGATCCACATGACGACCACCACTGATGACCCACGTCTGAGAGAGTACAACAGCATGCCTCGACCCCGTCAGGAGATGACCGGCCAGCCGTACCAAGACCGGTCACAACCAAGCACAGCTGCGGAAATACTAAATCAAGCTTCGCACACAGCTGATTTCAACAAGGTTCTGACCCAACAGCGCAGCTATCGGCAGAAAGGACTGGAAGAGTTCTATTCCAAGCAGCGTGAGATCCCCGCCTCCGCGGCGCCTTCGCAACCTGGACCACTCGATGCGGCCCCAGCAGCCTCCCAGCCAATGCAGTCGCCCCAGATGCCTTCGACCGGAGCGATTAGCCAAGCTCAGCCACCACAGGCAATGCTCCCCCATCAGCCTCCCATGATATCTAGTCAGCCGGGCTTCCAATCTGCAACGGCCCATCAGCAGCCGCCTGTAGCGCAGTCGCCTGCTCGAGGTGTCCCTGCAGCCCGTCCAGAACTTATGCATCAACGTTCGAATCCTGCCCTCCCTGCAGGAACGCCACAGCCACCAGGTCCTTACGGGTATCCCTCCCAGCCGCAGCAGATGTGGGGCCAGCCGCCTCCGCAACCTCAGCCATCGCCTATTTCTGCCGCTGGCCCGCAGGGTGTAGCAATGCCGCAGTACCCATCCCAGATCCACCCTCAGCAGTCTCCTTCGCCGCTCGCGCACTCTCTTCCCCAGCAACATGCCTCTCAGTCGCCCCGCAATCAAGCTCGGCCTTCGGCACCCCCGATGCCGCAGCCGTTCCCAATGCATCCGCAAACACCTCAGCAGCAACAAATGGCAGCCATGCCTTTCCCTGGAGTCACCGCTGTGCAGTATCCAGGTATACCTGCCGCACGAGCCATATATCCTTCCACGCAGGGTCCAGCAGGTCAACAGTACATGGCTGGAGCTCCACAGCAACCGGGCATGGCTATGGGGATGAGCCCTGGTGGAGCGATGCCCGGCTGGCCTCCGGCACCTGGCGGCCCGATGCAACCGGGACATCCGCAGCCTGGTCAATCCGGCACTCCTCTCGGCTGGTCTGGATATTGAAATTGATAGAGGTTCTAGCTGGCGTTAGTTCAAGATGGGAGCGTTTGCAGGGTCTTTTCTGCAAGATGCTGTTGAAATTTGAGAAAGAGACGCATTATTCGGTTTTTCATGAGCTTGAGAGTCCTGCTTGATCTGATCTGACCTTTTCCCTATCCCATGATGTTGTATCTGACATACCCCATTTCATTCCTGCTCTCTGTTATCCTTTGCCCCTGGATAATGGCTAATGATAATCTGCGTTTTTCCCTTGTTTATACCCTTTGTTATACCCTGTCATGTTTTTGTTTCTATGTGTTCCCCAATGGTGGTTTTGCAAGAATTTGAAGCTGAGTTCCGCAGTCACGAATATGGAGATTGTGCATGGTTTTCATATGTCTAGGATAGAGGGGCGGTCAGATGGGATGGCGGTAACTCATTTGTTTCTGCTCTTGGGTTCGGTGTTGTCAGCCCTGGGATATTCTTTTTTTTTCGCGTTTCCTACATTGGATGATTTTTCTTCCGTTCTGTTTGCATTGATGGTCTTCTGTCTCACTCTACTCCGATCCATTTTACAGTGCTTTTATTCGACAACGGTTTCGTCTGGACATCCTTATTATGACCTTGTGGTTTTCTTCTGTCTTATCTTGCATACACTCCGGCTTTGTCTCTTCGTCAGATGTCTTATGATCATTCTTCTATGTGTCTATGGTATGCAGATCACGTACAGCTTGCACAGTTTCGGGGATTATTAATTTGACTAACCCCGTTTTCCACGAGTTGTGGTTCCTTCTGATGTATTGCGCATGGTTGTAGAAGAGTACTTCGGACTAAGGACCTAGAAAGTGTAGTTTAATACGCAGCCAGGCAAGGCACTTGACTTGTTCCCCCTGTCATGCCAGGTTTTTGTGTGCCCTCATCTGCGATGTACACAAGGATACCTTCTTGTAGTAGGGCGGTCTTGCCGCCTGCACTGATCTCGCTACTCATCTCACTCGCCCGTGACCCCTGGCCTGTTGTTGCCCACACATCTTGAGAACGAATCTGGTTTTGTGACCTTACAACCAGCTCCAGAACATACATCAACATCAACAACATATTCTGCAGGGAGTAGGTTAGGTTGGGTCAGGTCTCTCCTTGTCTCCTTACGAATCTGGAGAGTAAGATTGTCTCTATACTTGTAGAAGTATTTTCCATCAACCGCCTACATCATCCCGCCCAGGAGCTAATGAGCTTTTCAAAGGAGAAGCCAAATCCCAAAAACCAAAAACCAAAAACACGCCTGGTTAACGTGCGCGTGATCTCGAATCCCCAAGGCTCTCTAGGCTCCCTCCCCTACCCCTGGACACTCTCGTACTCAGGTACGTATCCGGGTATTCGAGCTATTTTCCGGGGAGAGAGGAACTTGCATCCCTCCCCGTACTCTGGTTGATGAACTATATTGTAAGACAGTGCTTGCTGTAGCAGAACGCTTATTATAGTCCAGTTGATGAGCTATAGATGGGGAGAGAGTAATCACCCCTGATCATAAGCTGGGTCGATATAACGAACGCAAGAGCTGAGAAGGAACATACTGAAGCTTACCTGGTATTGTATCTACGACGCTACGAGGATCAGACTGGGTCTTTTTCTTGGTTTGTTCAAACGAGAGACTCGGCGGTTGATGTCTGTTCTGCCTCTGCAGCCACAAAATACACCTGCCTCATCACCCCTCCAGATTATATGTATTACAGTAAGTAGTGGTAGTAGTAGTAGTAGATACGTGACAAGGTGATGTGAACCAATGCCTTCAAATGTCCAGATGTCCACACAGAAAAACAAAACAGACAGCCGCTTCAAAACTTTCACATGCTTGTTCCCAAAACAAGAAGTTATGATTGAACCCTTGGCTCAAAGATAAGGAAAAAGAAATGCTCCTGGAATCAAACACACGTGGCCTGGGGGATATATATGTAATGCCAACAAGGGTTCCATAGATGAAGATGAAGAAAGTCAAACGAAACCAGTCATGGCCCTGACGGAAGATAAGACGCAGGGGGGGGGAATAAGTACATGTGACCGGTGAGCTGGATGGGGGTATTATCATTCGCACAATTCCAACCAAAACAGTAAATCAGAAGTCATTCGGGGTTTTGTTGTTGGCAAATGTGTATGCCTCTGGTTTCTGCGAAGGAAGCTGTTGTGCACCGTACCGCTGGGCCTCCTGCTGCTCGGGGAACTCATAGATGAATTCCCGAGGCTTCGAGTCGCCCCCTAGCCCAGCTGACATGGACATGTCCACATCGGTAGTCGTGTACACCAGCGACGGAGAATCCGTCACGGGAACATGCTCGCCGCTGTTGTCATACGACATCGAAGCCATGTCCGGCTGCGGTGTGACTTGGCAGGGGCTTTGGAAAGAAGCTTCCGGGGATGACATGGAGGTCGCATCGGGCCAGCTTCTGCCTGTCATCGAGGTTTCACATGATGTGTAGTCATGGAAGGAGTTGTAATGAGCCGGAGCCGACATTGGCGGAGCGCCCCCGTGATACGGATATCCGGAAAGCATGTCCACTGCCAACGGCGTAGCCGGAGGAGAGGCGATGTTGATCTGCATCGGCTGTGTCGTGGGAAACAGCTGGCTGGTGGGTTGTGCCGACAGACAGTAGCCTGCATCACTTGGGGTGTTCGGAAGCAAGTGATGCAGATCCTCCGGGGTCAGAGGTGTGGGGGGTGCTAATCCACCCGCGGTCACCGTGGGTTGCAACATCGATGACATTTCGGCTTTGGAATTGAGAGATCCCGCCTCGGCAAAAGTCGAAAGGTTGAGAGGCGAACGTTGTGCGGCAGACGCCTTTCTCACTCCTGCGTAACGAGAGTTGAGTCCTTGCGCCGATTTCGAGTGTCTCATGCTACCATAACCAGGGAGTCTCCCTGTGGGTGACATAGCCGACGAGCCTGAGAGCATAGACGAAGATCTAGAGGTACCAATCGCAGCAGGCCTCGGGCGTTTTCTGCGAGCAGCCAGGTCAAGTTCCTTGCCTGCCTCTCTCCATGAAGCTCGGTCGGCCCCGTGAACGAGCTGCGACAGCCCTTGCGGGGTGTTGATCCCAATACCTTCAAAACTATCAGCGAGCTCGTCGGACGAGCCCCGTCGGGACAACTCTAGATCTTGATGGATGGGATATTGAACCGTATTGTAGGAAGCCTCCGCGTCACTAGCTGATCGGTACCCAGAGATTGGCTTGGTCGACGATTGCATGTGACCGGCCCAGTCTTCAGAGTGGAGCTGCATACCGTGAGGGCTTTCAAGAGTGGGAATAGTCAGCGACTCGCCACTTGCCGTTACAAAGTCCAGGGAGGTCTGAGATGGCTCCCAGGGAAGCGTCGTCTGTGCATACGAAGGACTCAGATCACCCGAGCTGACTCCGTGTTCGTCATGACTATCACTTCGGGGGTTGGCCGCGAAGGTCGTGGTAGGAGACACCGACCCATCCACGCTAGCCGGATGGCTGTTGTCCCCGTCTTGGCTGTACCGGTCGCGCGCCGCAACAGCAGCGTTCAATGCTCTTTGTAGAGACGCGAAAGTTGCCTCTCGGGCCGACTCACTTCTTGTCTTCTGGTGCTTGGACCGCGAAGAGGAAGAGGTCGTCTTTGTCCGCTCGCTGGGCTTTTCGGTCGAAGGCTTGGGAGTATCTTCGTGTGCCTCACCGCTCTTGGTCTTGGAGTCTTGATTCGACTCGGACGAGGTCTCCGTGTTGTCTGACTTTCCCCGAGCAGCCTCTTCGGCCTCCGCCTTGGCCTTCTGCATTCTCTCGAATTCTTCTTGGCGCTTCTGTTGCTTCGCCTTTGCCCGACGGTTCTGGAACCAGTTCTAAATCTTCATTAGCTTTGAAACTTCCCACGACCTTTTGTTTCACGATCGAAGGACCACTAACCGCTACACGGGGGAGGCTGAGATTCGTTTGCGCCGCCAATTGACGCTTGACATTGCTGCTGGGCTTGGGGTGGGCTTGAAATTGGGCTTCCAAAGTCTCCACCTGTTCCTTGGTCAACCTCGGACGCGAGAGGTTCTCTGCATATTCGTCGTAGTCCATGATAGGCTGGTGATAGAAATCGACCATGTCGAACGGGGGGTGTGGGTAGAGGTAGCCATCCATCGGGTGCATCATGGAGGGATGGGTCATTGTCGGATCGAAGGCTACCGGTTGATGATCCATTGGCACGCCCGTAAAGGCGTATGTGTGATGAAGGTAGTTCATGATGACGGATGAGGAAGCGTAGGAGAGATGAGCGAGGAGGGAGGATATGAGAAGGGTGGTCTTGTATGAGGGAGTAGTCTGATTGGGATGGGGGTGGAATGCGGTGCGGTGCGATGCGATGCGGTGTTGGTGACCAAGTGTTCGAGGGATCCTGACAAGCTGCTGCCAACCGAGCTGCAACTATGACGAGGACAGGGACTTGGTCATTGAACAATTGGACCACCAAAGACTGACTGATGACGATACTGGATAGGAGTAGGAGGGGTGAATAGATGTGGGATAGGGCGGGAAGATCGGATCTTAAAGGGCGAGGATAAGAGATGAAGTGGCGGTAATGATTGGAACGAGTAGACTGGAAGTAGCGGGGAGTATATACTTCTATACTTGCAGTCGATCTGTGGATTCTCGTGTAAAATAGGAAAAAAGAAAACAATTGTCAGAGAGAGTGTAAGAGGAGTAGCCCAGGAGAAGATAGTGGAGGTGGATGCGACGAAGGAGGAGGGGGGGGCGACAGCCAAAACGCAAGAGGATCAAGGAAGGTATAATTATTATGTCCGATGAGGAAACACAGAAAAGGAAAAAGGAGAGAGCGACTAAGCTGACTGGGAAAGGCAAGAATAAAAAGTGTGAAAATGAATGACTGAAAGAGGAAAAGGAGAGTAAGAGGTGAGGTGAGGTTTGAAGGGAAGGAAAATGAAAGAGTGACGATGGATGGAATAGGGACAAAAGGGAAAAACAAAAAAGAGACAAGAAAGCAGAGGATGGAATGGATTGGACTGACAGAGGCAGGCAAAGCTAAAGACAGCAGCAGCAAGACAAGAGAGCAAGAGACAGAGACAGAGACAGAGACAGAGACAGAGACAGAGACAGACAATTACAGACGAAACAGACGAAACAGACAAGACAAGACAAGACAAGACAGTACAGAGTTGGTACAATCAGTGCAGTGGTCAGTGAGTGACTGTTCCGCTCCATACTGCTTTGCTCAGTTGGGATTGGTTGGCAGTGAATGGAGTCAGTCGACAGAAGGTGTGGAGGGGAGGCTGATGATTGGCGATCGCCCAACCGGAACTGGCTGGAGGTGCAAAGCTGCAAAGCTGCAAAGCTGTAAAACAAAAAAGACTCCAGGATTCAAGCCTGGGCCGGCTCAACTAGTATCAGGGCCGTATTGTAATCCTACCCTGCTGGGAAATCTCCTACAGCCTGCTCGTTGCTTTTTCTCCCTTTCCTTTCTTTCCTTTCTTTCCTGCTTCTCATTTACACCATCAATTGTTGACTGAATGTGATGGTTGCTGTCTTCATCAGCTTCCACCAACTTCTTATTCATCGTTTCCCTTATCAACAATGCTCTACCACTGAATCGCCCAGCCAGGAGCCAGATGATACCCAGGGACCAGATGGAGCAAGTTCCTGCCCGTTCGGGACTAGCCGAGCTGACCGGATAACGAACCCATTACCAGGTACCGTACGGGAGGGATTTCTCCAATTTATTCTTTTGGTTTACAGAAATAATAATGTTCATGGAATTTTGATTTTTCAGTTCCAGTTATGGCGTTCCACTTCCACATCCATCCGCCCCTCCCCCTTCCCTTCCCCCCCCAAAGACAGCCCAGAGAGCAAAGCGCTTTCTACCTAAGGGGGTGGCGGGCTGGGCTTACACATTTCTACCACCTACCTACGAGTACGAAGCCCTTCAGGAGTGTGCCTCCGCGGTTGCCCGCTCGCTCTTGCTCTGTGTCTCCGTACCCTTTTTCATTTTTAAAAATAACTCACCCTCAAGGCTAGCTGGCTGGCATACCCCGATTCCCTGGTGGTTCCAGAAGAGCAAACTAGAGCGAGGCGCGGGCAGTCAATTCCGGATATCCCTGGATACTGTTTGTACTGCGTACAGTACTTCTGACGGTCCGTACTTATCGACTTCGTAGCTGAGCACAGTACGTGTACTTCCGGGCCTACAGGTGCCACTTCCCCCTCCTCCTCATCTTTCTTCTTATTTAGAAAGAACAATTGAGTAGAAAGAGCCAGACATTGCCAAGAGGGTCTCAGCAGAGTGAGTCGGCCGGCCCTCCGCCGTGGCGGTGACGGTTGGTCTATCTTTCTGGGCTCAGGATCGGTCGCTATCGCCAGGCCGATCGTACGGAGACGAAGGAATGGGTCCACGATGCAACCTGTGCCTCAGAGGCTGGATGCTCAATTGCTTTTTTCCTTCCTCGTTATCGTCAGATCCGTCCAAGCGGTGCCGGAAAGAAGAGGACGGCGCGCCCCAGATGGGTCGGATTCCATCTTTCCCTAGAAAGAGGAGGATGATGATGCTCTCCGCCCGTGCCGGCAATGCGAAAGAAGTATTGGTCTGACTCCTCCTTCGCGCCTTGAGTCTGATTGTTCTTCTCATATCATAAGTGTTTTATAGGTGTTTGTGGGTGGGTTGTGTAGTACAAGTTACCTACTCACCTAACAGTTGGATGGCTTGGCGGAGATCTAAGTTTTTTGAGTGTTTTCCTCCCCCCTTAGACCAGAACCCTCAGAGCCCTACGTACAGTACCACACTCGGGCCGGGGAACTTTCTGGGTCAACCACGGATTACTTGTTCTGCCCCTTCCGCACAATCGCCTCGTCTCGACATCCAAACTCTTCCCCCCCCCATCCGACGCTTCCCCGGGAATGCGAACTCTGGATTCCAGTCAGAGTTTGGCCGATTAAGCTCCTGTGTCAGCTCGAATTGACAGTCTGGCCCATTTCCCCGGGATACATGATTCAGAACATGGCTGGAGTTGCGAAAGCTGCGTAAAGCGCCCATCCGTACGCTGGGTTGGGAGCGTTCCCTGGACTTTCGTCAGTTCCTGCATTAGCGCCACTAACATTAAGGGCCGATTTTAGCTCTTACCAGGGGGAGGGGTTCCATCTAGGAAGATCCGATAAAGACAATTGCTTGTAGCTCTATTTGCACCCTCCTCCATGGTTAGCAAGATGATAACAGCTGCTGCTGCTGCTGTTACTGATGCTCACCCTTCTAAGTGCAGGAAGAGCTGCAACGTCACGTCTCACGTCTTACCGTGCAGAGAAAAAGCAACTTTCGACAAGACAATCACGACCCCTCAAGTGGGTCCTGCGCTGAATAGAGTCAGTTGGTAGCCTGAGGGAAAGTCTGGCACAACCAAGATATGAGTAGGTGTGCGGTGGGCTTGCCCAGCTCAGGATTTGATCCTACTGGGCCATATAACGATCACGGGGACTTTGGGGAGGGAATCGGGGTTGCGGTCCATGGTTTGTCCCAAGCGGCGCTTAAGATTCACCGTACGTACAGTAAAGTACATATGCTGTATCCGGTTTAGTTCCCCAGCGGTCCGAAGATCCTCTCCTGTCCGGGAGGCCCCCCCAACTTCCGATTGATATTTGATGATCTTAAGAAGAAAAGAAGCAAACCCTGGGGGCCCTATCATATGAAACCTTAGGCACACTTGGCCCATGAATGATTAACAGCCAGAGCGCTACCGTAGCCTAGTTCAGTACATACGCTCAGGCTGTCATCACATGATGGCAATCCTCCTGTCGGTCTCCGCAAAAGCATGATGGGCATGATGTGATGATGGCTCCGGGGGGGGGTCTGTCTGGGTCAAGGTTCACTTATCTTATTACGTTTAGCCTCGTACCGTACAGTACATCCCGTACTGTACGGTATGCACACCTACCTTGTCCCATCCTTCGCATTTCCTCGAAAACGCACAATAGCGAAACAATCAGGCGGGGAAGTGGCCGACCAGAAGGAAGCATTGAGTCAATGCGTTTTCTGGGGCCTACGTTTACTGCATGCAGCAAAAGCGAGACTGCGCATTGGCATAATGGCGTGAATAACCTTCATTGTTCCGTTTGGGTGAACCAGGACCAGGACCAGGACCAGGACCAGAAAGCAGCTGGCACGGATCTCCAGGACCTGCCTGTCAACCTTCTTTTTCTCCCTGCCCGCAAGGTTCCTAGGTCAGGAAGAGCTTGGAGTTCCTGGATCTGCAAAGGCCGACACCCCCCCGGGGTCAGCACTAAAGCAATTCGAAAGAGAGCAATTGAGGGAGACACCTCAGGAAAGTCAGCACTAGAGAAGATCAGACTTGAAGATTAAAGACACTGGGGGTGTGTTTGCTGCAAGTTGCAACAGCGTGGCAGCTCAACCAGCCTAAGGCCCCACCGCAATCCAATAGTCGACAGATCCTCCGTCGATCAGCCTCGGGGATCTGTGGGTTTATTTCGAACGAACGAGTTTCGACTTGCCTTCCCTGCACCTTCCATTCGAATAACTTACTTCCGAGTTGGAAGTAAATTTGGTGAATGAAATTGGATACCAACATTCTTTCCATCTAAAGAATGTGCTCCCAGACAGCGGCCCGTTCTTGCCTGTGGCAGACTGTCAAAAATGACTCGGGAGAAAAAAGAAAAACATGCTCTTTCCTTTTTCGGTGCTAGTTCGGCATGCAGGCCGAAGAAGCGCCCGCGCGTCAATCAATCTCATGGGCTTACCTGCCTCCAGTAATCCGTAGTACTCTCCGTACGGTTTGGAGTAGTCGCTGGAGAAGCTGCTCACGGCCTTTTCAATTTCCATGGTCATGTTAGGGGCTTCTTAGTTCGAACGCCATCATATGCGCTCTCGCCACACCGGTGCTCGATGGGCAATCAGTCAATTACTCCGGACTGTAACTATGGAGGCATAGCAAAACTTACGGCTCAAAGATTCACCCATCTGATATACATATGCATGCATGCCATGTGTGCATGGGTCATCACCCTGTTCTTCGGCTGCCTCTGTGAGGTTATTGAGCCCTTTCGGTCTGTATGCAGTAATCTTGGAGACACTGGTTCCATTGACAGTTGGAACGTTTCCAGGTTCGAATGCTCAATCACGATCCCATGGGCGATCACTGCATCCATTGTGTTGATTCCACGATAAAGTCTCTGGAAGAGCTCTCAAAACTACCTGAAGCCCAGTCTTGCCTCCTAGTGCAGGCTTGTCT